GGAACAGCTGGTAGTTTTGAACTGCTGACCCCGAGGTTAGCAGCCCGATTCATAACCACTATGCTACCAGAGCTCCTTTACAATGATTGCAATCCCCTCCATGTACCATGGAGTACAGCAACTACTCCTATTCACTTAACTGTTGCATTCTTCGGTGTCTCCCGCTACTTTCATCTTTCCTCTAACCTCCCTCTTGTTTATAGCCTGCCCTGTCACCAATGTTAATATGTGTCTACCCTCTAGTCCATGAATAATTTTCCCTCCCTTTGCCCACAATTACCAACATAGATTGTTTCTTTTATTAAGAAAACCTTTTCTTAACTTCTTAAAACATTGGTCTCAACAACTATTTGTCCTTCTGTGATTAACTAATTTCACTCAGCATAATGGCTTTCAGGTTCATCCATGTTGTGAGGTGTATCACAGATTCATCATTATTCTTCAACAATTCCACTGTGTGTATATACCAAAGTATGTTTAACCATTCTTCAGTTTACAGATATTTAGGCTGCCTCCATCTTTTTGATGTATCTCTTGTAGACTGCATATGGAAGGATTCTGTTTTCTTACTCATGCTGCTCTGTTTCTAGACGGGTGCAATTACCCATTCACATTCAGTGTAATTATCAATAGGTATGAATTAATTGCTGTCATTGATGCCCTGATATCAATGATGTCCTGGTGTGTGTGTGGGGGGGTGGTGTACCATGAAGTCCGTTCCAATTCATAGAGACCTTGTATAGGGTTTCCAAGGCTGTAAACTTCATCAGAGCAGAAAGCCTCATCTTTCTCCCGTGGAACCGCTGGTAGCTTCAAACTAGCTGACCTTGAGGTTAGCAGCCCAACTCATAACCACTACGCTACCAGAGCTCCTTTGTCTTGGTGTTGTGTTGTAGGATAAGCACTGGACCACAAGGTCAGTCAGATCACAAGGTTGGTGGTTCAAACTCACTAGTCACTCCTCAGAAACCCTATACCGGGTCTCTATGAGTCACAACCAACTTGACACTTCTTAACAACCACAACAACATAAACTTATTGCTGTCATTTTGCTATGTGTTTTTCTTTGTGGTGTTGCTGGCTTCTTTGTTCCACATAATTTTCTATGCTGAGTACATTTTGTTTGTGGAGTTTCTTTTCATTTTCATTTCTGTTGTTTTAATAGTTTGCTAAATCTTTCTGATTTTCCTCTTTTTTTATTTTAATGTGTAGGTGTATTAATTTTCAGTGAAAATTGTAGGTTACTCTGTAATTTATTAAATTCTTACCCCATATTTAAAACAGTCATTTTGAGAGAACAAACAAGATGGCAGAGAGGGTAGAAGTGCAGTGAGGAGCTCCGTCAGCAACAACACAGAATACCAGACTAAGCAGGCTCAGGGGATGGTCCCAGAACTCTGAACCAAATATAAAGGAATATTTAGAAAGTTGGAAGGCTTGCAGCCAATGGAATTTGTAGCAGAAGCAAGAAATCCAGTGCTTTCTAATCCAAGGCCCTCAGTTGTTCCCTGAGGGGCCATTTTGGATGAGACTGAATGGGAGTGGAGGGGGACAATCAGAGCAATGACAGAACCACGGAGATAAAGGTGTGGACGTTCTTTTTTTTAATTTGTTTATTGGTCTCTCACTGTCTGCACACCTCCATTCTGGTGACTAGAGGGGGTGCCCAGGCAAGTGGACACCCCACCCCCACCCCCAAAGGTTTCTATTAGACATGTGCACAGATCTCCTCAAAATTTAAAGGAACAATTACCACTTAAAACCAAATGGCAGCGCAAAACGGTCAAGCTGGCCCTGATCTGTTTACAACTAGGAACAAGGTCTGAATGGAGGTTGTGGAGTGGGACAGGCATACTAAAAAGGAAACAGGCCAAAAATTAAATCCTGAATTACATCATAATGACCAACATTGGCATCTTGAAATTTCTCAGGCAGTCTTGAAGGCAAGAAGCCAAAAGAGGACATTAAAATCATAATCATAGGCTACAGATTTTTTTTCTCCTCTCTTTTTTCTATGATTATAGACTACAGCATCTAATCTGTCTTTTTTTTTTCCTTGCTGTTGCTGTTTTGTTTTATGGTCCCCTCTTTACCTTTAGGGGGGCTCTTTCTCTATATATATTACCCATGCAGAGACAGAAATTGCTGTCATATAGTCAAGCTACAATCACACCCTATAAAATCCCACAATCCAGACAACAACCAATAACAGCTTCCATACACCAGATAGGCAGCCAACACCTGCAACAGATACACTGCATCAAGTAATAAGAAGAGTGATAGGGGAAGCCCATCTCCTGATCACATCCACCTGGAGGCAATCAGAAAGCACACAAAATACCAAAACACACACTCAT